CTCGCTCGGATTAGCTGGGCGATCACCATGTCCTATGCTCCGGCTGAACCATCCGAGCGATGAATAAATGAACCCGATCGGTCATATGATTTTCGGGCCAGCACAGGAGGAGGATAGGTTCCAAATCCGATGTTGCCTAAGTGTTGGTAAAGAATCACCACAAGAGAACCAGTTGTGGTAAATTCGGAATGGAAAATGCTCAAGTGATGATGACACTGGGTCAACGCCTGACTCGTCTAAGATACACACACTATTTTTCGAAGAGAGTTCGGTAAATAGATAATCATGATAAAACTGAACTTGTCTTAATAACGGACAACAATATCCCCCAATTTATGCCCACTCTTCTCAGTGTTTTCCCAACTGGCTGGTTTCACGTTTGAAGATTTCGCTAACTACGTCGGAGATAGAATTCCGAAAAAAAGAACGAACAAATATTATAGAAAAAAGCAATTACTTTAGAAAAGTTGTTCAACAGGTTTTCTGTCCTGCTAATTTTATGGTAAAATACATTGAAGATAGTTTTGTTTCACCTTCTGGATGGTAGCAGTTGGAATATTTTCGTACTACGCCACAATACTCTATTTAGGCTCCTCGATCGTTCTCAGTTTCCGGCAATAAACGGTTCGCTTTAGATATCCTCACAAAAGGAAATCCATGGGAGATAGATCAGGTGATCTTGGAGGCCATTCCTTTGGTTCTCCTCGGCCAATCCATCTGCAATGAAATTCCGAGTCGAGGACGCTTCTCACCACCTGGTGCTTGCCCAGCTAATCCGAGCGAGAAACCACACCTTGTTTACAGCCATGAGTCTTAGGCAGGCCCACTGAACTACGACTGCATAGCAGGAGTGCCATCAATACACGGATGGACTGGACGTGACAATAAGAGCATTACAAAATGCACAAGCCGGTAATCGGACAGTCTCGTGTTGGGGTGAGGGACTCCAAGTACCGCAGATCACGGAATATGATCCAATCAGACCACGGAAAGGGTCGGAGGAAATTTACTTGTCTATCTAAGGTCACGGGTGAGAGGGAGAAAATGATGTAAGGTGACGGAACAATCCCACTGTACATTCGTCTTGTGAAATCTTTCGTTGACTTCGTCTTACTGTTCTACCAATTTGATAGTTACACATCCTGGATGGATCAGTCAAGCAACAATCCAAAGAGAATAAAGCCCATAGTATGATTGAAATGGTGCGTGACAGATTGAGAGGTGCCCAGGTAGAAGTTTATCGCATTTATCAGGTTGTTGGGTGAAGTCACTTCTGGAACGTCTTAAAAGTATGGACGATAGCAAGCACAAATAAAATAGAGTTTGCATACTGCGGAAAAAATACGACTCACGTGATTTAGTTACTAAAATGTTGTAGGTGAAAAGCAATTATAAGGCTCGGTGTCGCTCATTTAAAAGAATTTACGTTTTATAGCTTTGGTTTACCAGGTTTAAAACAATTCCAGCTTTTGACAAGCGGTAAAACGGCGGTTACTTAGTACAATTCTCTATTCCCTTCTATTCATTAAAAACTGATGACCAAGAATTATTATTCATGGAGTTATTTTGTAGTTTTAATGTCAATGGAAAATTTGGTAGGATTCTATTTAAGTCTCAAAAATTGATGATCATCCCAATCGGAAGGGTTCAAGTAGGTAATAATAACACAATCAGGAAATAGCTAAAAACCTAAGTGAAGAGATCAACCAGCTTTCTCCCAAGTGGAAAAGTCCGTATGGCAACCAGTTTTGAAGAAAATCCAGTGTGTCTGTGTAGGCAAAATGATCACGTACCTTGCTCACGTTCCTCGGATTGGGCAAGCCCCGATCAGATGCACTCACGCGAATCAGATGCACACCCAAATCGGATTCGTCTAACTCCCTCGTCAATACAATGTGACCCAAACTGGGATCGATTCGGATCAGATTGGCAGTCCTAGCACCTGACGGCTTGGTGATGTTTCCCAGTGCTCTCCGCAGTTCTTCTACTCTGTACACGATTTGTGCATTCTCATCCTTGTCTGGATCAGTTGCTTGCAAAGTCGTGATGAGATAGCCAGGTTTTTCGTGTAGAGACATATGAATGGGACTCTGTGTTCTCTGGACGGCGCCGTTGGCTTCTCTGACCCAATCCTGACCGGATTCCATGGTCGCAGATGCCCCCCTTTCCTGATTCGTTCGTAGCTCCTTCGAATCGGCCAAAGGTTGATCATAGA